GTGCTGTTCAACGTGAGTCCACTTCCTGAACCAGCTTCAGGGCCGGCCGTCCCATTTGCTCCTGCACCTGTGTCAGCCTCTCCTCGAAAATTAGCAATCAAAAAGTGATCAATGCAAGTGTCACTGCAGCAGCACAAAACAGTGTCATTTAGGAAATTGCAATGAAATGAAGAACTTCACCTTTTCAGTGGTGCTGCTCTTTAAATGGCCCACTATCTTCCTTGAGTTTGCCCAGATGACAGCACACGGCTTTGGTCATCTGCCTTTTTTACAAGTCAATTCAAAGTATGCACCACACAATTTGACGCAAACAAAGCTCCTTGGCACAAGCCCCCATATTTGCTGCTCAGTCACAAGGCAAGTAACTTTGTTTGTGATACCCCACTGTGACATAAGTGCTGCTTTTACTGGAATTACATTCTCAGCAGTATGTGCCTCAGGGAAATACAGCACCCCTAAAACAGACTGCAAAGAGGTGCTTGCATCTATAAAATGGCATGTCACAGCGAGATGTGCATCGGTGTTTTTAGAGGTCCACATATCTGATGTTAAGCTAACCGCTGAAGCCTTCAACACCAAGGCTTTGGCTTTCTGCTTGGATTCCTCATATTTGTCCTCCACCATAGCTTTCAAAGCCTAAAGGAAAGAAGAGAACATTCTTGGAATAGCAAATATGGGGGGAAAAAATAGAAAAAAATACGTGTTCACTTCAAGATGAACGAAATGCAGAACTGTCTGATTGTAAATAAACATTAACTTAATAAGTATTATCATGTAATAGCTTAATATAGGCAGCCAATTGTACAAAATGTATGTTTAGACACACAACATAGATATAAACTTTAAGAAGTTGAATAATATAAAAATGTATAACTATGTACAAATATTAACTCATTGACTGCCAGCCATTTTCAGAACAGAGAGTCGCTCACTGCCAGAGTTTTTTGAGAATTTTGACTGATTTTTCAAGAGCCACAGAATAGTTTGTGCTATGACTATGTAAACACCGAACACACCAAAAGAAAGAGTAGACTCTCTTCTTTCATCAGGAAAAAAGATTTTGTTTCTACCTCATTCCGTTCTTCTTCGACGTGAGTCTCACCGGCGCCATTTCTCTCATAGCGAACTATTGCGTTTGTTTTTATTTGCTTACAATCTATGCTAATCTCCCATCAAAAGTGGCACAGCTACCTAGAGGGTGAATTTGTTAGTCCATACTCTGTATAGAAGCCGATATTTACGGGAAAACTTTCGGCAATCGTCCCCCAAGCCACTCGCATTGAAAAATATAAAAGACGTCTATAGACGTCTTTGGCAGTCAGCGGTTGGATTTGAAAAGACGTCTATAGACGTCTTTGGCAGCGAATGAGTTAAGTGTCTTTATTTTGGGAACCTCTTGCTCATATCCTCCAGCCACTGCTATTTAGTGACTGTACACCCTCCCCCTGAACTGACCATGTCCAGTCTCTCTGCTGTACGAAACTGGCCACATATTTTGCAGGTGTTTGCCTCCACAGTCCTCCTGTATGGCCTCTTGGGTTTTGCACCAGCTGTCTCAGGAAAGACCTACTGGTACAGAAGCCCTGGCTGTCCTGTGTGTGCAGTGAGCTGGGGGGGGGGGGGGCGATGGGTGCTGCTGGGACTGCTGTGGCTTTTGGCTGAGCAACAAACTGCTGTCTTTGTACAGTACCTTTAGGCCCAATGGGGCGGGGTGTCTCCCTCTGCTTAGCCTGATTCATCATCAGTCATTCATTGTAAAAATTTTACAATAAGTGGAGAC